AACTGAAAAGCAACAATTCTTCTGAAATAGTTTATGATACTGAATTATTACATATGATAAGGAATAGTATTTGGAGTCTTCGTATGGATCTTTTCAAAAATATCGATAATCGTGGCCGGAACGGGTCTTGCAGCTATTGCAGTAATGCTTGAAGTAAGGTTGACTACTTGGACGCAAAAACAGTTTACGGTTTTATCTAGAAAGGTGAACCCTCGAAATTTGTCCCTTCTTTTGTAAATCAAGTTTTCTCACTTCTAGAATAAATAAATTCAAAAAAATTTGCTCAGACGTTCTAATAGACAATTTTCTTAATACTTAGGTTCTATGGGTTTAGAAATGAGCTGCTTCGTTCCTAGATCTTCATCAAATTAAGCTAAGAAAAAATAATGAATTTTTACAAGATTTTGTGCTAAAAAAATTTCTATTGCTCAATAACTTATTCTCCTTTCTAATTGCTTAAAGACATTCTAAAAGAAGTATCGCGAATCGCCAGCTTAGGGAATCTCATAAAAGCTATCACGCCAACTTAAGAAACTTATTAAATGGTCTTCATTTTTCGAGTAATTGAAAACTCAAAGCTCATCTTTGCGTGTCTGCTTAGAGAGCCACAAAATTTAGAATTTCTGTAAAGTGCTAATTCTTACTCATATGTCATTATCCCTTGTTAGAGAAAGAGTGTAACTCACCATGCTTCTGTGCTTCCGCTTCCTCCGCTTGTGGTTTCGTCTCAACATCCGACTCTTCTTTATTCTCTTCAGTTGTCTCCTCTCCATCCTTTTGTTGTAATTTCAAAGCAGTTCTCACTGCTCCTCTCATCAATGTGTTACCCCACATAGCCATCACTGTCCCTGATTCTGTGTCCTCGATCTTTCCATCAATCATACGTCGACCATCTAAACAGGCTACACTTGTACACTTTTCAACATTGCGAAAACACAGACCTTGAACAGTAGTAGTTATCTAATTAGCGAACAGATACTTTGGGTAAAAATTCCTCAAAAGAGTTAAATTAAATGAACTGTAAGTAACAACTCTTAATTTTAAAATTCCCTAACACCTAGAACTATACTTAGCGAAAATAACTCGTTTTCTTATGGGTCTCTGTAGAGGACGACCAGAAGTCATAAAG